GAGTATGCTCTGCTCCCACTTGCCCCTTGCACAACAAAGCAACTCCAATTGGTTGCTCTCCTTGCCTTCAAGGCAAACAATCACAACAGCTCTTATTTCTAAAACAGCATTACAACCCAAGGCAGAACATAAGAAAGGTTAGACTGGGTCAGACTGAAGGTCTGTCTAACCCCCGATAGTATTCAATGCCAGGGACTCCAGAGGGAATGAACAGAACAGGAAATCATTAAGTGAAACATTCCCTGTTGCTCATTCACAGCTTGAATTTGAATTTGCTCTAAATGGCAACTGAGAAATGAAATCACTTATAGTGGGAGTTAAGTACAGTAATTTTTCTACCAGTCTACAGCTATCACCACATTGGGTTAATGCACATTTTGAATATTTTTTACAGTGGTAAAAGGAAACAAAGTGAGGGCAATTGCATTTTCCACTTCTGTAAATTAAACTTCCTCTCTCCAAATGCCAGCCAGGCAGATTGGCAATTCAGTCCAGAGGGGATCTAGAAACATCTGGCTGCATAGTAAGATGAAACAAATCATGCTTGAACACAGCATCACACCAATGTGAAGCAGCAAGTTCTGGGGCTGACCTGGTGACTTACTGCAGTCGTAGGAAGCATAGACTGAGAACTCAGCTGCCATGTTCCCTCTAAGCTGTGTGGAGGCACAGCTCCACAGGTGAGTAATCAGCCTCACCCAGTCAGTCAGCACCATGCACAAGAGCCCTGAGCCTCTGACTGAGTGGGGCTGATTAATCACCTCTGAAGCTGTGCTGCCTTGTAGTTTAGAGGGAACACTGCTCATCTGGGGGTTTTAGGATTTTGGGCAACAGGTCTTTAGTAAGAACAGATGTGGCTATGGCATTAGAACAGTGTTTCTTAAACTGTGTTGCACAGCACACCCGTGTGCTGCAAGGCAGTCTGTGTGCCTTAGGATTCAAAATGGCCACCCTTAAAGGGGCAGGTGACTTTTTTTTCTCAATAATTTTCCCCCAGCCCTCCCGTTTTTATTTTATTTTATTTTGCTCAACAAAAAAATCCTTGGTGTTCCTCATAAAAAACATTGTTTGGTGTTCCTTGGTCTTAAAAAGTTTAAGAAACACTGCATTAGAACAAGAAGAGGCTCTGGAGCAATAGCAAATGTCTATGGTATAATGTGGAGATGCAACATCCAGAAGCTGACTATCCAATGAAGTGTTTTTATAAGCCCTCAGTATGTTGCCAGGAAGACAGACATACCAATGTTGTTAAATACTTGTAATTTTGATAGCAACCCTGAAGCTTAATTAACATTTGGGCCCCACTGTAGCAGGCAATGTGTAAATGCAAAATACAAGCTAGTTCCTGTCTAGGGATGTAAGTGACTAGTCAACTACCTGATAAGCATAAGCTTATCAGATAGTCAAGTAGTCACTCGATTAGTTGCTTCCCCCCTTGTTGCCTCTGTCAGTAGACCACAAATAAGTACGGATAATAATAAACAAATGCTAAACAAGGTCATATGTAGATTAATCTATCAGTCAATTTGTATTTAAAAATGTAACTGTCACAAATATAAGAAATCACGGTGACTATACTGAAGGAAAGTATTTGTGAGAGCACTGCCTGCATGCTCCCATACAAGTAACTGGTTTGACAGCTGAAGCTTTGACTTTGTCCGACACGGCGCTAGTATATTCATATTCAGTCACCCACGTGATCCATGCTCCCTGAGCATGAGTAGGAGGATTTATGATGGTATATAACAGACGATTGCATCATTAATTGACTGCGTGCGCAGCGCTGAATAGTGACATCATTGTCCCCACTCTCTGGCTAAGTTGGCATTAGGGACACTTACTGGGGCAAACAAATAAATTGTTTTCAATAAAATTCAATAAAATTCATAAATGCTTAAATTATATTTTTTTAAATCACAAAATGTTATTGTAATAGAATTTTCACGGAACCCTTATTTTCACTTTGCGGAACCCCAGGGTTCCACGGAACACCATTTGGAAAACACTGCTTTAACTCTATTCCTGAGGGAGCGGGGGGGAAATGTTGAGTTTTATTACATAGTTGTTGATGGGTATTTTGAAACAAATTTTCAAAATAATTGAAACTGGCAATGATTTTTGTTGCTTGATAGATAACATGGAGAATTTTAAATACTGTGTCCAGAACTTAATATTTTTGGCACAGAATTTCCCCATGAGTAATGTATTGTACCTTTGTATTGTGACAGTGAGCAATGTACAAAGACACACTTCTCAAAGCTAATATGCAGCAGCACTTTCAAAAGAGCAAGTAAGAGGAATTGAGCTTCAAAAAGAATCTCTATTCCATCTCATAGGGTTTGTTTTATAAAATACATTGCTAATGTCCAAAACAAACTACAGTGGAACCTCAGATTTATGAATACTGCAGGAATGGAGGTTCTTTGTAACTGAATAAAACATTATGGTTCTTCCAAAAGTTTGTGACTAGACATTGACTTAATACAGCTTTGAAACTTTACTTTTAATCATCTTAATTTAAATGAAACAAGCTCAGTAGGCTTGCTTGTCAATATTTCTAAAATTTCCCTTTGTTTTTATTATGTTAAATGTAAATTACTATACTGTTTGTGTGTCTCTGCTGTTGCCTGATTGTGTTCTTCTGGTTCCAAATTACTTGTGTGGATGACCAGTCACTTGTGTGGATGACTTGTGTGGATAACTCTGAAGTTCTACTGCAGGGCTACTCAACTTTGGAAGCCCTAGAGGCCACAATGATACTCACAATATGTGCCGAGGGCCGCAACTTAAGTGTGGTTGCATATACATGCAAATATATATGCAAATTCCATCTCCCAAAGAGGGTTGAAAACCGTGTTCATCCAATAAGCGTCGCTTCTTTGTTGCCATTTGTAATGCTTCTTATTAAAGAGAAAATTGTATACCAGTGTTTTGGGTGTTTAGCTTGAAGCTTCAGGTTGTGTGTTTCTTGGAGTGATTTTACTCAGAAAAAGTTTCCAAGCCAGAGCGCTCCACTCTGTGGCGAGTCGGGAGCTTGGTGGGTCATGCCAGACACGAGACAAAAAAGGACAGGTGCCTAGGAGCCCCGTCCTGGATTCCCAGCAGGGCTGACTTCCCCACGCCAGAGTCCATCACTCCTTGCAGGATGGAGGCAGAGCTGGAGGCAGGGCTGTCCATTCGCAGTGCCGGACCCAAACATGGCCAGAGTGAACCAGTCAGCACCTCTCAGACTCTGCCCACAAGGCTAAGCAGCCAGCACTTCCCACAATACCCAGGCTAGAAATGTGACATCCTGTACTCGTCTGCTCCAGCCAGCCCGTCCGCTTGTGTCTTTCACTGCTCACCCCACCTTTTTGGAGCGTGTTCCCAGAGGGGGCCATGTTCAAAGGATCCTACCCGCAGGCTGCGTGTTTAGCCCTGAGTAAACCCAAACCGCACTGTGGATCGCAAACAAACAGGCTGCGGGCCAGATGTTGAGTAGCCCTGTTCTACTGCAGAGGCCAAATGTTGTTTGCATTTCACACTGTGTCAGAGGATCTGTGCGCACAAGAAAGGACAGGATTTAGTCCTACATTTTCAGATTTTGGAAATCCTACCTGAAACTGTAGTTCTGCTTCTCTGAAAACACCCTACATTAGTCTGGTCACGCAGAGGCACATCATTTCTACAGTTTACCCCCACTCCTAAGACAGAATGGCCATTTGACAGAATAAACTGACAAGATACTACAGTATTAAATGCTTAGCAGCCAAACACATTTATTAGTCTCTTTTTCCAGGAACCCAAAAATATTTTGTAGTTATAATGTAAGCAACTGAGTTGCACATAATACAATCATATCTTTAAAAAACATAAAAATAAAATAAAAACAAAAGCTGTTTAAAAGCCCAAAAACCTTCAGAAAACTTATGTATTACACCATCTCTCAGTTTCAATGAAATGACGACGACTTAATTCCTTATTACTCTTAATTTGTCACACTCCAATAAAACATCACCCTTTTGTTTTTTTTAAATCCAGCATGAGAAATACAGTACCTGCTATGGCAAAAATACACATAAAATGCAACATTTCAGCTTATTTGTACATTAGTAGAGTTTAAACATTTTATTGTTTTTAAGTGAACCAGTGATTTTAAGTACCACTATACTAAAAGTAAAATAAAAATACAGAAGAGGAGGAGAAGGGGGGCAGCCTGCCATACAAAAGCACCTGTTAAAGTGCTGAGTTTCTGTGTCCATGGAAAACCACTAGGCTAGAAAGCAAGATCAAACACCAGGGTATATGGATAGGAATTAAGATGAAACCTGGGCATAAGTAGTTGTGTTAACCTCTTCTCTATTCTCCCTTGTCCTGTGTCTGCTTTCTCTGCTGCCCATTTAGGGGGAGGGCAGGAAGAAATCAGAATTAAAAGTTTACTAAAGAAAGCTATTTCAAGTATAAGAAAAAACACTCATAGGTAACTTTCAAAGAGCATCAATACATGCACCTACTATTCTTATTTATTACAATGTCTGCTCAGGGGGGACAGTGTTTCTGCAAGAGGGCTTCAGCTGTACCTTTCTGTTACCTCATTCATGTGCAAAGTAGGAAAGCTGCCTTTTCTAATCCAGCAGTTTCAGACATAAGTGATTATCCACTCTGCACTTATTTTTTTTAAAGGAAGGAGAGAGGAAGGGGGAACTATTTTACAAACAAGGCTAGATTAAATTAACCTCTTCCTCCACTCCTCCTCAAGACACACTTCCTCCCCCATTACCTGACTTGACTGTTAGCAATGAGGAAAACCTCACTAACCCTCTGATGCCCACCATCAGCCAGTTTCCTGATCAGGTAGAAAGCATTTGTCTTTGTAAACATAGCTCCTTAGGTCTGTGGATTTCAAAGCAGCATTTCATGTTTCCATCCAAATAGTGGAAACTAAAATAGTTCAGAACTCCTCCCCACCATTGCTTTCTTCACCACCTGTGCCACCCTCCCACCAAAAGGTTGCTTTTGGTATGTATTTGGTTCTTTTGGGAAAAGACATAACATTTAATTAAAAAGTAAACAGTGCAGAGTTACCATCAGCAGAACTATGCAATGTCTGTTCTGTTTTCTGTATAGAAAGGAAAGAATAACACATCTGTTAGATATTCTGCACCTCAGGAACATTGCAATTGTGCACAAGCTTTAGGGCTGCCCATGCATCATTTTGGTTTTGTTCTCTATGGAATCACTAGACAGATTTCATTGCATGCTGACAGAGGTGGAGGCAATGACATATGGAAGCAGTAGAGAGATAATCCTAAGGCCACAGGGAGCACTGCAATGGACAGAAAGGGCCAGTGAAGTGTCAGAAAGGAAGGCTTCAAATTCAGAATTGAAGCCAAATTTCTAGATTTCCAAGACCAAATTCCAAAGGCATGGGCTCATATGCACATCCCTGAGACACTTGTCCAAGAGAGAAGAAACTGACCATAACATGATTGGAGAGGGAGAAAGTATCAGAGGTTCCCTGACAGCTGTGGGATTTACCCAACAAAGACCTCTTACCCCACCACCCTCTCAGAGATTCTGGGTGAGCTGTAAGGCATATAAAAAAGCAGCATCTACTACTACTGAATGTCATTTCCTCTGTTTCTATGTACTATTGGTATATGATGGCTTCTTGTATTAGGGACAAGGTGACACTTTATTTGAAGTGTCAATATAACAACACTTTTATAAATTAATTCAGGGAAGGAAGCAGGGAGCTACACTGTCCTCTATTCCTGGAGCAGCATTAGGAACATGACTCTTCATTTTACAATCCCCATCAGATCTATAAGATACTCCTCCCTTCCTGAAGACAGGAAGAGATGCGTCCATGGCGGGATGACACTTCACTAGCCAATGTTTGTTTAAAGTCAAAGAAAAAAATAACACATTGCATCCAATTTAGAGATTTGGTAAGGAAGAGGAGGAAAGTTGCAAGTACATCAATCCAACCAGCTCCAATGTCTGCTTAAAAAGAATGGGCTTGTGACCTACTGCAAAAAAGGTATTACTGCATATAAAATGCAGGAGAGAAGACCAACATAGAGGGAAAGGAGAAAGCAAGCAGTAAGGATGGTTTAAGCTCTCCATTTACTTCTGCTTAGCTAAGTCATTTAAGGTCTAGATTTTTTTGATGTCGTAAATTTAGAAGTATTATAGATTCCCCCCTCCTACCTCAAACAATGTTAAGAATGAGTTATGTGGCTGTTTAAATTCATAATACTTATATAGTGCTTTTCATCTTCAATGCACTTTATAGACAAGAACTAGTTGATCCTCACAAAACCCCTGGGAGGTAGGTAAGTATTAGTATCCCCAATATACAGATGAAAAAAATGGAAACACAGAAATTAAATGACTTGCCCAAGGCTAAGGAGAAAAAATAAGGGCCACAACTGAAACTCAGAGTTTCAGGAGCTTGGGAAGATCCAAGAAGCAGATAAGCTCACCAAAGCTGGAAGAGAACACAGGGTTTAAGCAATGTTTAAAAGGAAATGTACCATGAGGTATTTTGTGATGAAGAATTGAAACTTCAGGATGTTTTTATGTTTAAAAGGCAATCCAACAGAGTGGAACCCTGATAAGATCACATCTGTAAGGCAGGCACAGATGTGAGGAGAGTGTCATCATCAAGTCTATTACTCATTACAGTACTGTGAACGTCAACAAAAAATAAAATTGCTGCATGAAAAACACTGAATACAGGCAGGATAATCCCTCAGTTATGATACTGTTATCTAAGATAATGCCAAGGGTAATGCAGGTACCATGGTTCACCATGGGTAAGGGAAAGTCAAGTCAACACAAGGCTCCTATTGAGACAAGAACAGGGCAGTTAGAGTTAGATTTTTATTTTTTTCCCCCACAAAGAGACCACTCCAAGAAGCCCACTGAGCTCTAGGTAAATGTGCATTTTGGGAGTGAGAAGTGAATCCTCTTTTACCCATTGGGACAGCAGCCACTTTCCAGTACACAAGGATAATTTCTTTTATTTGGATGGTGTTCTCTACACTAGTCTTTGTTCCCTAAAATTTTCTCACTATCACCACCACTGCTACATCTCCACTAGTAGTACTACTATAGACAAGGCTTTGGCAGTAGCTAGTGTTTTAACTGCCAAGTTCTCCTACACCTGTTTAGGGCTAGAAGATAAATAGAGTACTCTATCTTTAATAGTGCTACCACACATCAGAGCTGCATTACAGATAGCAATAGTGGCTATTTTAGGAAAAGTTTAATGTATACACTTTTTGAGTAAGGGAAGGTTCTGTTCCAATTCTCCTGAGAGAATGACTATTTTAATGGAGAGTGACTAGATACATCCCAAAAGACAGTGCCTGAGGCACTCTGTTTCCTGAGCTTGAAAGGGGCCCTAACACAGGAGGTGGTCACATAGTTTCCCAGGGAAAGCTGGGTTTCATGTCACACTATTGGCCCTTGGTTAACACTGCATGGCTAGAATTCACAATCCTGCAGAATATTTTGGGTTAGATTTTGGAATAAATGTTAATTGAATTCTTAAACTGTCAAGCTAACAAAATCCCCAATTTAGGAGGAGTCCTTCTCTTTGGAAGTCAGCACTCTCACTCTCTCCTTCCCTCCACACCTAACATGTATGCACCATGGACACAGAAACTGCTGAAAAGTCTAGCAGAGCTACCTCTTCTTCCCCCATGTCCTCCCAGCAGAATGCATAGTTTACAATTCACTTACAAAATAAAGAAGCAATGCTGACCACATATGGGACCTTTTTTTTAAAAAGAAAAAAAAAACCTCTTCTTAAGTTCAGTATCAAAATTCACATTTGCATAATAATACATTTCAAGGCCATTAGAGAGGAATGAGAGCGAAGCAAAGAAAGCTGCAATGTCTCTCCTCCCTTTGTCTTCCTGAATAGAGCTGTAGGGTCCCACTAAGAGTTTCTTTTTGGGGTGAGGACTGAAGGGGGCTAATACAACAGCTCTTGCACACCTCAGATTTGGGGTGAAAAGGTGGAATAATAGGGAAAAACAAATGGAAGGAGACACTGCAGATTCCCATGTTTAGCTACAAACAGCTTTGAAGAAAAAAATTACTTCAGACTTTTTTCTTTTCTTTTTTAAACACTTCTACCTCACCATTTCTAATTTTTTTATTCTTATAATACCCTGTTAATTTAAATGGCAACGTTTAATGTGCTGGAAGTTAAAGGGTTGAAAAAAATATAATTTTCCTGTTTCTCTCATTAGGACATGGAAAGAAAGGATACAAGTGTGCCTATACCCACAAATGGCAGAAGCTACAAAATTTCTTCTCTACATGCATAAATGTGTCTCAAACATCACTGAGTTTCACTTCTCCAGTGCTTACAAAAAATTAAAGCAAGCTACACACACAAAAGAGAAGCTACATAATACAAATATAAATTCAACCTGCAACGGCAGACTAACTACCAACAGCTTCTGTGCATCATGTCATGTCTCTTTCCAATCCCCAAACCTCTTAATCACTTATGATTACTTACTGTGCAGTGTAGAGACTAGCTCAAAGATGATTCTCATTGAAAGGGACCAATGGGATGGCATCTTTATTTGACCTCTTGAAAGAATGAATTGACCATTGTCACCCTACTCCAGCCCAAGTAGTCTCCTTAGTCACTGTACTCACAAAGGCACATTCATAAATACCACATTTAAGTTACTGCTTGTAAAAGCAACAAAGAGGGGAAAAATGTTAAGCGCTTATACCCCAATTCAACCCTACTGACCCAGCAAGAAACATCACATATCACTTGGTGAGACCCCACTTTTTACCTTCAGAAGGTACATATTTATTAAAGAAGTTTTCAAAGACCCCTTTTTTCTTGTTGCATAAATTAATGCTTTCCCCCATTTTTGGCTTACATGTTTTGGAATACAGCACACCCCCACTATAAAGCTCTGTTGTAAGGCTACCCTCTAATGTAAGGCTGTTCTACCTTGGCTCCCTTTTCACTCTCTTCCTCCTCCCCCCCCCCCCAGAAACACAAAACATTCAACACCTTATATAAGAAGGGTGAGCCGATTCTAGAAGGGGAAGGGAAAAGGAAGAAAAGCACTTAATATCACAACCATGTCACTAAAATAGCTATTTCCAGAAAGTTCTGCCACCTGCTCCTGCTGATTAACATTAGTATTGAGAAAGAACTATGTTCATCTAAGCTTATTTTAATCTACAATGTGAGAGAAACTTCCATTTATTTGTCATGGTTAAAAAGTTAAAAAATGACAATTTTTATTATTTGAATGCACTGATTTGTACTTTAATACCTAAGATGAGGCATTAAGTGTTTAAAAAGAAACACTTCTTGCTAAACACTCCCTGCCTCTTGTTTGTCCATGAAAAATCTTCCCATCTCCTCTCTTCTCCCTCTGCCCTCCAAATAGCCAAGAGAATGTGCCACAAAGAATACTCAGACACAGCCTGGCACAAAGCTTTCCACCATTTTATCTCGAGTGCACTGTTTTGTGTTTATAAGAATGGTTTTTAGGGTCAAGTAAAAATTATTTCAACTCTGGTTAAGAAAAAAATTAAAATTTCACAAGCTTTTAACACTGCTCGATGTTCCCATTACTGATTGCCGCATGCACAGTGGGAAACGGCTCTTTGCGGAGGGCACTTAGTTTGCAAGATGCTCTTTTCACAACCTAGGGTTCTGAGAGGTTTTCAGAGAAACTTTCCTGCATATCTTTATAAAAAGCAACACACAAACTGTGGAAGCATGTGAATGTTGCTTTATTGCATGCCTTATATTAGGTTACATCTACACTGGCCTGACAACACAGTTTAAAAATAGGCTTAGAGCCCTACACATGTGCAGACCATTAGAACACTTCTGTGGCACAGGTGGAATTTTAATCATTTTCCATAATGGGACGAAAACTCATCCAAAGTTCTAGCCAACTACAGAACATGGCTGAAGTTCAATGTGCATCACAAACCAAACTATGTTGCAAAGAGGTCCACTGAGTTTTAAATACCAGCATTGAGGATTTTATTGTGGACAGAGTTCTACTAGAGCCTGGCCAGTCAATGTTAAAAGGATTAAACTTACCTACTTATCTACTTTAGAGAAATTTTGCCAACATTTCTTTACTATTGGTAATACAAGTTCATTTGTGCTGGTATATGCAATGGTGGATATTTTTGCAGAATGTAGAGGAGACAAACATTATTAGAACAGTCCTTAAAAGTTAGCCCCTATCTAACACACTTTAGTCCTATCCACAAACTCCAGTTAGCTGCAAGGATTTAAGCTCTGTTTATTTGTATTTTAAGCTCTGCTGTAACACCAGGATAGATGGGCATAGCTTTTGTATACACTAGAAAAATTCGGCAGAAGTTTCTCATTATTAATACCTGGACAACCACACAAGGAACCTTAGTGTTGGCAGACTTCTGGAGTTGGCAGCATCTTGTCATCTATAGTCTGTTCAGAGTAGGTATAATCAATATGATGCTTAAAATGCCAGAGGCAGCAGGTGGCCCATCTATGCTGGACTCTCAATGTTATGAACATTAACAGTGGGATTTTTTTTTCTTTTTTGAAAAATTTTAAAAAAGGCTACAGGTTCTGCATATGCTGCTTTAACTACAAGACAAAACTCAGTCTTGATAAAATTAAATTCTTCTGACAGCAAGTTTCTTATACATCATTTAAACTTTCCATTTTGGGACTATTTACTGCATTATTATTTTGCATATTTACAGTTAAGGAGACATCCATCCCTGCTATAATGGAATTTTTCTCAAGTAAAAAAAAATCTAACTTCCACCTAAGTCAATCAGGACTTCATATCCTGAGAGACTATGTGCCAAGCACTGTAAGTGCATCTCAGAACACTGGAGAAGTCCTGGATGTTGAAGTCACACAGTTTACAGTGAATTTAATATATGCATGGACATGCAGGTGTTCCTGGTTGTACTGGTACACTATAGTGTCCCGGCTATAATATTAAATCCTTGTCCTGCAACCTCTGACTTATACTAATAGCCCTTACTCCTATGAGTTGCACTTACTCATTCAAATCAGTGGCACAAACTTGTGAGAGTAAGGATTACTCCTACAATGGTTTCCAAGATCTGGTCCAGAGGGCCAAATTTGGATCTCAGAGGTACATACTGGGCCCCCATTAAAGTCAGCAGGAGATTCACATGCAAGAGTCAAAATCAGATCCAGGAAGAGGGAAAGGCAGCTGAGGGATGAAGCAGAAAATGATTATTCTACAATCAAGGCATGAACAGAAGAGATGTGGCAGCATTTAATGAGGAAGAAGAGCACACACTAATAAAAACTTGGCCTTTACAAAGTATTACACCTGAAACCTTTACTGGTTCAAATTCCTGCAATGAAAAAAAATATTACGTAGAAATATCTAGATTTCTAATGTACTAATTTTTTAAAAGCTTCAAGATGAATTAAAAAAATAGGTCAACTTAATACAAAGGTTAAATTGTTCTCTAATAATGGAGTCTACTGAAAATATTTTGTTTATACTTCAGAGTGAAGCATGTTTGGTGTAAGATCTCCGTTCAATATATAAATTCTTCAGTTGGTTTAATCTGAACACCAGGAAGCCAAAATCTAAGAAAAAGGTCATACCATTTGATTCCTCAGCATTCATGGGAAAGTGTCCAGAAAAAGCACAGGCTTATTGGAAAGGACTAAAAGGCTTCCCAAAGGGCATCTAGTTCAAGAAATTTAATCTACTTTCCACTGGAATTGTGTTAGATTTTAAAACTTTCTTTGATTTTGTTTCTTGTTTTTCTTGCCAGAAATGCTCACTATCACTTCATTAAAAGTTACTATGGCATCAGGGAGAGAGGCAGAAAAGATCAAACCCATCTAATTCAGAGAGTAAACCTACAGACAATTCAAGCAACATTTGGGAGAGGGGGAAAGCAGTTGGTACTGAAGCAGGATTTATAGAAAATAAAATGTAAAAAGAAATAAAAACACTAAAATGTAATTAACAAATTAAATAGTTGAGGATTAATAAAAGGAGACAGGAAATCAGGAAGAAAGGAATAATAATTGAGACATGTAGGTGCTGAGATTATATGGCCATGAAAAGTAAGAATCAAGAACAGAACAGCTACAAAGTGCATTCTTTGTTTCTTCATGAACATCTTGGGTAGCTGAAGATGTATTTTTGAGATTAACAGGAAAGACTTGAAATTTGACCCGAAATAGAAGCAGAGGTTCATAATCTATTCTAAGATGTGGGCCTCTCCACCTCAGAAACTTTTCCTAGATTTTCTTTTATGATGTTCATGTAAAACAATGCTGGCAGCAATTAGCATATTTTTCCTGTCCAGGACAGTCACAAATGTGTTCTCTCAACACACCTACCCCATAACATATCTTGCTTGTCTTTTTCATGCACTGACATCAATAGAACTGTTTGTTTGAGAAACACAAGCCATATTTGGCCTATAGAAGAGTGCTGTCTGCTAGCATGGGCTTCCAAATTTATTTTTCATAACGGTCAGGAAATCCATTATAGAACCAATCTGATGACACAGTGATTATCTGTATGTTTTCCACTATAAATTTGGACAGTAATGAAACTAGCAACTATTTTTTTTTTCAAACTGGGAAATGGGAGGCATTAAGCTCTTTCAAGCAACTTATCAATTGACGATTCAAGACAGAAGTGCCTAAGAAAAAGTCTACACAGACTTCAGGAATTGGGGTGTTTTTGGAGAGGGGAAGGATGCTCTTATAAAATGACACAAAGATTCAGTGCTCTAATCTCTTAGTAGTCAGCCATGGCTGTTGCCAAGGGACTGCAGCAAAGGCATTGCATTGTTTTTCAACAAGTCCTACTGTTTTCTGTTATTAAGACACTACAAATTGATAAAGCACTGCCTCTGGAAAAGCATACAAATAAATACCTCCTCAATTTACAAAAATAAAAATAAACAAAAGAATCCCTCTCCATTGGCCAGTCATATCACAATTTTCCAAATTAACATGGTGTATTGTTTTTAACATACTTGCATTCACACACATGCAGGAAGAATGCAACACAAAAACAAGCACTTCTGAAGTTACAGGAGAGGAACTTGGCATTTGATTTTTCAAATAAAAAAAAATTGTCTGTTATGTAACTCACTGCATGTCATGCCTTTCTGGCAGGCTCATTTTCTGTTTTCACAGCAGGTGCATTTATTTCCATTGAGTGCGTGGACTACATATGCCTCCTTTTGCAGAATGTGTGGGTGTATTACAAAGGCACTAAAATGGCTTGTGGTTTCAGCCTAACTTCAGGCAGATTAGGCCCCTCTTCCCTACTAGTGGGAGGTAGGAGTTTATCCATCCCAACACAGAGATCAGAAATGTCACTCTCAAAGCTGGGAGTCCTGACAGCTGGCACCAGTGGGGTCAGCAGAAGAGCTTAAATACTTCCCTAAAAAAAACCCACCCCACCCTAAAATAAAAGTACATTTCTGGATGAGAGATGTAGAAAAGCAAGCAGCAAATCTCCATAACGGGGATTAACATTGATTAGGGGGTAGATGGAAACTTAAAATAATCACTTTTGTTCTCTAAATTACATCCCACAAACTTTCATATTCTCCCCGCTCTTGCTCATTTTCTGTATTAAAAAGGAGACAAGATAAAACTGTTCAATTGCTAGGATATTCCACAGGTACGGGTTAAGATTTACAGTCTTATTTTTTTTTTAAAAAAAGGTGCTTGGAGGAATATTTCAGTCTAATTTTCATTGCAAAAGAACTAAGTGATTGTATTTCCACTCAGACATTTCTCTCCCCGCGTACATGCTCCCACATCAGATTTACAAAGCTCTACAAAGAATAACCTTTCTTCTCCAACAACTTGGTTTTTAAGATTACAATGAATTTCTGTTGCTGCTACTGAATTTGTTATAATTATTATTGTTACAGTCTTGAAAATGCTTGATCCCCAGTTATAACAGTAACATTTGAAGATTTTTCTGCTTTTTTAATTTTTTTAAGTAAAATCTTTCAAAGTTTTTGAAGATTCAGAAACTTGTAAAAGTTTATCAACAGGAAAGAAACAGCCATCTATCTAGGATAAGATAAGGTTTAATACACTATCTTCAAAAACTGGCTTCCTACCCTAGAATTCCTGAGAAAGCTTGCAAATTTAAAGCAGGAAAAAAGGTTAAAACAAACAAAAAAACACTGTTAAATGCTCCCAGAGTTAGTCTTCATCTAATATATATGCATGCATGCATGCGTGCACTTTTTGGTCTTTTTTTTTGTGTAAGTTTTAATTTTTTTCTCTTTAAGTTTACGATGGAAGAACATTTTTAGCTTTTCATTTTTAAATATTTCAGATCCCTCATTATGTCTTGTAAACAAGAGGGGTTCTAGCACCCGGCTTTCACCGTAGTATCGCAATGAACTCAACTAACCCAAAGTGCAGGTAAAGGGACCTTAGGGCAGTTTGGGAGAGAGAAGTGAAGGGGTGGGGAACACAGCAGTGAACCAGCATGGGCAAGTCACATGACAGAATGTATACTGTCTTACTCAGGCCATCATAGGTGCTCGACTGGAAAGTACTGCTGGCACAGGGCTTTTTATCTGTCCTGCATCTCTGCTCATGGCTGGTCTTCATATTGAGGCTATCAGAGACAATACAACTCTGCCTGGGGGGAGGAGGGAACAAACCTACCTGATAGGAGATGGAAGAAAAACATTTTGTTTCAATGTGTATGGTGGGATGGAGGAGAGGGCATAGTAAAAAAATTAAATAACAAATGAAAAAAAAAAGAATATTCAAAAAGAGCCAGATATTATGCTGCAGACTCCAGTTTATACTTACACACACACACACACACACACACACACACACCCATTTTTCCTCACATAATGCCTAGCATGTGAATCTATAAGCATATGCAGATGCAGCATCCCCCTCAGTCAGCCTTCCATGTGACACTGGTTTTACACAGATATGGCAATTAAAAAGCCACAGAATTCCCATGACCTCTCTCCGTACACATTCACAAACACACACACACACACACACACTTTGAGTTTGCCTTTTCCACTCCCACCATGCTTAAAGAGTTATTAAATACATTACACTTAGACACTACTGTATCCTTCAGTGAATATGCAAAACAAAGATTCCCCTTTCCTCCCCACCTCCTACAGTTAATTAGGACAACAGAGGTACACTCCCATTCACTGCTGGAATGGGTAGTTTTTTGCTGGTACAGAATGTCAGCACTTTATGTTAAATAGTATAACACAGAGCTTGACACCATCACACTAGTGGTGGCACTTTGAGAAGAGTACAGGCATCTCTCTTTCCTCTTCTCCCTGCAGCCACAAAATCTCCCCTGCATTGTGTAAAAAGATGTCCCTTCAAGTTTACTACAGCTCTTTCCACAACAAGCAGTGTTGTAAGTTTTGTTCCCAGCACAGACAATGGCTATCACTGTGGATTATAGGTCATGCCCATTCTGCCAAGAGTATTACTACACTGATGCTCAAAAAATCCCCTCCCCCCCCGCATCTTTCGTTAAATATGGAAATTAAAAAGCAACAGTACAGAAAGAATATAAACAAAAACAAAAAAGGTGCAATACTTTAAAAAAAAGTTTTTGCTAGTTATATACCTGCCTAAGCAAAACCACATACACAGGAAAAAACACAACACAGAGAAACAAAAGGAAACATTTGAAGTACACACTGGTTTAAGAACATTCGTAAGTAAACGTTTCTGTCAGTGATGGTCTGGTGCGGTAATACACCAAGCCCTGGCACAGGTAACACTCTTCAGGAGGGATGCAGAAAGGAGTTAGCTGCATGTGCTTTCAGGAGATGAGGCAGATAGGCCAGCAAACTGCTGACACCACTTAGTTTTGTCAGTTTTAATATAAACAGTAAATCAATTAAGAGAATAATGTTGGTTGGGCTGGAATTTCAGGGTTTTGATGAATACTTCATGAATGGACATGGATACATAAATACAATTGGGGGAGGGGTGAGACTAATTTTTTTTAAAGGTGCTGTAGACTGCAAGGAACTAGATAAGAACATTGGTCTTAGCCACTTACAAATGTGATGTCTTCTATTTTCTGGTTTACCCTCCACAGAAGAATAAAGAATGGCTTTCATTATAAAACAAACATTCTAGGGTTTACTCACAAAACCCCCACATGCAGACATAAATAAATAAATACACTGCTACTCAAAAGACAACACTGGCTCCTCTTCTCGACAAATCCTTCAGACATGGCAGTGTTTTGCTCTACCACAGGGTCAGAACAAGGGTTTAGAAGCAACAAACCACATTCAATATGATCTGCACACTTGAATTAGCACCCTACTAAAATTAATTAAAAAACAAAACAAAGACTTGACAAATTTTAATCCAGCCCAAGAAAATTTTGATTCAGCCACTGGGACTCCCCCATTCTTGTCTTGTTTTCAGAACCAAGACACTCAGACAGACAGACAGCCCACAGACCCATCAGCAATGCAGCATTATGAGACAGCAAGAGAGAGAGGGAGAAAATGCAAACTTACCAGAAATAAGCACATATGGGCAGTTACATGTGCCAGAACACACTGGTATTTATCAACCAGCCAATCACAAAGTGTTGGGGGTTTTTTGTTTTTGTTTTTTTTTTTCAATTTTTTTTTTGTTTTTAAAGTGAGGCTCCGTCAAGTCTTCCCCTCCCCCCACCCTTGCAATTCTTTTGAACCCCACCCCTAGCCCCACCCAACACGGTAGACCTAAGGACGGAAACACACCCAGTGCAAACAAAGTTAAAAAGCTATTTTTTCAGTATATATGTTTCTTAGCAACAACTTCCGTATAACATGAAAAAGTGAAAAACTAGAAACTAATTTTTTTAATTTTTTGTGTTTAAATTTAAATGGTATGTGTACTTGCTTCACATTGTCTTTCTAAAGTTGGCGTTCATGATTCAAGTATTTCAAGAGTGATATGTTCTCTTTTTGGATTCATATTCCAAACAAAAAAACTGAAGTTATATAAGGGAGGCAACTATGTGCTCAGACAGTCTGTCAATGACCCACCTTTTTTTCTCTCTCCGTTTTCTTTTTTCCTTTTAAAAATGTATTTATTGCAAGTTGAAAAAAAAACGAAAAGGTCAAGTTAGTGCTGCTGCTGTTCCAAAAAAGGTCACGAGGTCAGAGTTGAAAGTTCTAAGTTCAGATTGAATCCGACCCTCCTCCCAGAAGGTCTCCAGGTAGTAAGGGAGCAGGACTGCCCATTCTGTGGGGATCTTCTACACTTGGAACCCCCCACAAGCTTGAAGAATAGTTTGGGGGCCCCCACAATGAAGCGCCAGAAAGATCACCTCCGCTGCTGCTGCCACCACTGCTGCTCCACTGCCCAAGCCCTGCTGATCCACCAAAAAGATTCAACGGAGGTCCAACTGCATCTGTCTGGTTCTGTCCTGTCTCCAGGGATTGCCAGCCTGCTGCAGGTGCACTTGGGGTTGCTGCAGGTGTAGGGGGCTGAGCTTGTGCCAGAAAGCGACTAACCTCCTCATCTGTGGCAAATTCAGCCAGGATGGTAGTGTTTCCCAACACACACCTGGAGGCGAAGGGAAGGGTGAATGAGAAGAAAAAAGATCATATTAAAAACCAGGGTACATGCACAGTATTCAAAATGGCAAAAGACTACCCAGGCCAGTAAGGAAATCAGTGGTAGAACTAAGCAAGGGAGATGACTGCAGCCACCTCCATTTTACCAGTTTAATCAGACTCTATAGAACCCAATCTTTTTTTTTTTTAATGGAAATAAATGTACAGCTCTTATGGCTGTGTAAGAAACCCAGTCCACAGAGAAACATCAACAGCACCATGCACGTGGAAGAGATAATTATCCTCAAAAAAACTAACAGTGCAGAAACACATGAATAGATTTAGTGTGTATATTTTTCCAAAACATAAAAGCTCAAGAAAAGGTTTGAAACCAAAGAACTTTAGAATGAAAGGAAAGCAATTTTCCTTCTCCTGGATTTCCAGTCTTTTCTTAGATTTAACATTTCTGAAAGGTAAGAAAAAGCATGGGAGGGACTCTTTGCTCCCAAGACTCCATGCACTTCTAAAGCAAGCCAAAAATCACATTCAAATTTAAGAAAACTAACGTGAGACTCTTTCTTCAAATCCGAAGAGCCCTGAAAACAAGAAACCAATTCTGGGATTTGCAGACTCCCAGAGAGCCTATTTTAAATGCCCCTCAGTTAAAACCAGAGTCTATTTTATCTTTTCCTGACCCTATTTTTCTGCACTGTGGTTCCCCCAAGGAGGAAAGATTACTTGAAAGAAACAGAACTGAAGAATCATTACAGGTAGGTAAAAACCAGCACGAGGAAAAATGCAGAAAGTATAGTGTTTCCCTCAGACATTTTAATGAAAAGATTCTAAAATTTAAGAAAAAAAATCAAGACCTATTAATTTAATTGTAAAAAGTTTTCAAAAATCCTTTTAAAAAAAGTGAGTATTATTTGGATTAAATTGTTTTTACTTCTTTTCATCTACTACACTCAAACTGTGGCTCATGTTGAACTTGTTGGGGCCCAAGTGGGACTGGCTGGTCACGTAGTGCTGCATTCTCAGTCCTTATTTCTGGCTACTAAAGCTCTTCATTAAAACACATTAAATACATCCCTATCATTATTTTCTTATGTAAGCAACTGCTGTGGCCACCACAAGAGTCTTTCACCATCATGAGTGGGAGGCAGTGACACACACAACCGAGAATGAGAGGATAAGCGATCTTTGAGACTAAAATGTGGTCCACCCCACAAAACAGTTTGAGAAACCCTGCTCTAGGAAACAAGCTTTCCTTCACAAAGCACTTCCCCCTACTCCACCAATACCCTTAAAAAAAAAAAAAAAAAGAAGGGCAGGGAAGGTAAGGGATTTAAATTTGGTATTCACACGGACTTGGTTTCAGATGAAAATGTGACTGACCACTTTGCAAAATCTTGCACAGTACTGCTCATTTGAAGCAAATATATTAATTTTCATAAAAACAACCAGATTTGAATATTCACTTGCATGTTAGTCCCAATAGGCCACCTCATCCATTGTAAAATCCTTGTGACACTATCACTTTAAAGCAGTAGCACAGTCTCATTCAGAAATCATGCCTCATTCCCCAGTCTCTTCTGGTAAAAGAAGGGATTCCTAGCATGAAAGTCTGACTTAATACCTGAGTTTCTAAAATCTGGAAGTGGACAGACAAAAAACCTGGTTACTAACCTTTCACAACTGTTCAAGAGCTTGCCATGTCCATTCAATGCTAGGTGACTCACAAGCAGTACCCCTGGAATTGGTGCAAGATTTTTTGCTACATGGCAAGACGTTTGGGCTGCGTCTAGACTGGCAAGATTTTGCGCAAAAGCATGTGCTTTTGCACAAAATCTTGCTGCCTGTCTAGACTGGCCATGAGTATTTGCACAAGAACACTGACTTTGTACTGTACAAAATCAGTGGTTCTTGCGCAAATACTCTGATGCTCCCGTTCAGGAATAAGCCCTCTTGCGCAAGTATTCTTGCACAAGAGGTCCAGTGTAGACAGACAAGTTAATTTCTTGCGCAAGAAAGCCCGATGGCTAAAATGGCCATCGGAGCTTTCTTGTGCAAGAGAGCGTCTACACTGGCACAGATGCTTTTGTGCAAAAGCAAATCTTTTGCGCAAAGGCACATGCCAGTGTAGACGCTCTCTTGCGCAAATACTTTTAACGGAAAAACGTTTCAGTTAAAAGTATTTGCACAAAATCATGCCAGTCTAGATGCAGCCTCTGAATCTGAGGGTTGAGTCACACAGCAGCCATGCCATCAGGCATAGGGAGGTAAGATTCAGGTCAAGCAACTGGCCGTAGTATTGCAAAGTCAAGTCCAAACAGGATGGGAGCACTGGAGGAGCTGCCACTGAGAGGTCAGAAACATGCCAAACTAATGCCGGCATGGCCACACCAGAGCAATCATGATAACCTTTCACCATAACCTCTTGATATTTACATACTGCAGAAAGGCATCAGAAAGTGAAATTTTTCTAAGCCTGCATACAAAACAGAACCAATGACATTGCCTGTTCTGTATGGAGGCAAACAGGTCCAATTGGGGGAGTCTCACACTTGTGCAAGATAATAGTGTGGCAAGAGGAAAAGAACCTACTGAGGTGATCTGCCAACCCATTCCAGTCTTCTAGGAAGTGTGATGCCTCAAGGTGAATGGTTTGGTTCACACAGAATTAAACAAATGTACTACTGGATGTGGGACAGTGAAAGGCACTCCCTTCATCATAGAATGTGGGTCTCTCCACCAAGTAAAAGAAACAAAGATAGATGACAAAATCATGAGAACTGAGTCTGCCCGGGGATTAAACTAATGCCAGTCATATCTGTATGGGTCTGAGGTGTAGCTGCACAATACAGGTACATGCTGCCATATGACCTAAGAACTTGAAGCACATCCATGCAGTTGTAAGCAGGTGGTGATTTCATCTGACATAGTTCAGAACCAAGCCTCTGGGAAGTAGGACTTGGCCTGCTTGGAGCTGACCACTGTCCCAATAAACTCTATCTGTACTAAAATCAATGCTGATTTCAATTTGTTTATTAAGAGACCATCAGTGCCTGAAAGGTGGCCCGTACTATGCCAACGCTGTGCTGAGTCTGAGTGACCTTTGGCCAGCCAATCACTGAGAAGCAGGTAGACATGTACACTTTGACATCTGACTAAGGCTGCAACCATAGCTATATATTTTGTAAAAACTCATGGGACTGCTGACAGACTAAGGGAAGTATGATGAACTGGTAGTGGCACTGACCCAACACAACTTTGAGAATCATTTGTGTCCACAGGTGGAAATGTAGAAATAAGTGTCCTGTAACTCGAAGGCAGCATACCTGGATCCAGGCAGGAAATGACAGAGCTAGGGGAGACCATGTGAAATCTAGTAGAGATAAAGGGATCTACCATAGGACCCTGTCTGGTCCAAACACAGCATCATTGACTGGGTCTGGCCATTCTGGAGGGAGTGGCTGCAGCCAGGATATCAATCAGGCTGTGTGTGAAACTCTTTGGCTTCCAGCCCTAATTTCTGTGGCAATCCATTTCACGAGCTCCTGACGGGCCCTGGAGTAATCTGGTGGAACTGAGATATTAGTACTTGTGCCCACCTGATCCGGGCATGAGAAGTAAGAGGCTAGCACCACAAAAGGTGCTGATCCTTTCTCCTCCATCTATTCCACCCTCCATTGGGGCCACTTCAGTGATATTGGGGTCGGTACTAGAATTTGAATGTGATGTTGGTTGGGAAGAAACAGTGGTCAGACACCACTGAGTAGGACTAGTGGGAATGTAACTTGCAGGTACTTTTTTGGCAGGCCAAAGGATTTCCGCTCAGAGTCTGAAGAGCTCTCTTTACCTGGAGACCATGGCACCTTTCCCTGGAGACCATGGCAGAACTGTGCCCTCTCTGCATCCAGGCAGTGATGGAGAGTTGGTCAGTGATGCTGGATCCGGGACTGCTGCATCAGAGCCATAGAGGGCTTCTCTCTGGAAGGTGCTGCTACAACGGCCAATGACATGCTGGAGTTCACTGCCCCAAGAATCCTTGTATCCCTGGATGGGAACAGGTATTGGGCAATATAAGGAGGGACATGATAGCCTTTGTAGCCTGGAAAGCTTCTGGACTTGAGGGGGGCCTGATTCTGGAGAGGATGGGTGGCCTGGCGAGTCTTGCTTCATCAGGGGCTTCTTGCTTGCCCCTCTTCAACATCTGAGAGCGCTCTCTTGGAATGCTGTTTCTTATGCTTCTTCCTTGGTGCTGGCGAGGAGAATAGTGCTGGGAAGAGCTTTGTGTCAGTGGGGCACTCTGCATGGAGACCAAACTGCTCAGTGATGACTGGAGTATGATGCTCCGAAGACAGTTTGAAGGCTGCCTCCATGAAGAAAGCCTTCAGATCAACATCCCTGTCTTTCTGAGTGAATGGCCTGAGACTCTTGTATTTCTTAACCTGAACTTCCCCAAAATACTTTAGACAGCTTGAATGAGGGTTGCTCATTGGATTGGCCTTCCACAAGAGGTACATGGTTTGAAGCCCAGTGACCAGAGCATGCAGAGTCTCTGGAATGGTGTCCCACAATGACTGAGACTGCACTGTATACACTAATACTAATAATTAAAGTTAACCTCAAAAACTATATAGTACAGACTACAAAGTCCAAACCATTGGGAAAACCTTGCAAGAACAAGAAGGCCATTCCAAACAACTGTGATGGGTGGTAAGAAGGAAATGAGAGGGTGCAGAATAGTCGGTGGCTCTCAAACCAGCACACGTGCCTGGGAGGCCAGTCCTATGGATACTAATAAGGGGAAAATATCTCCAGCAACTGTGCACATGGCGCACTCACACCTAGAATGGAATGGACATTAGTAAGCATTCGACAAACAAGTCTTAATGAATCACCTCCTGCATACAGAACTTTCATTAATAGATAAAGTCAGTTTTATGTGGCAGAGGAAACAGGGCATATGCATGGTACTAGGGTAACTCACATGTGCAGTGCAGTCTGAGCCTTGGCTGCTTCCTGTTTGGTGCTGTATCGGATTAGGGCGGTGCCCTGGGTCAGGTTCAGATGGAATGTCAGCAGTGGACCATGCTGCATGCAGATCGTCCTCAAGGTTGACCCATCGATCTGAGGAATATTAGTCAGGAAAAATAAAAGTTTACTGAAAGAAAAGAGCACTGAACATTTTCTTTATGGCATGAATACATTTAAAGAACTTGAGGTATGTTTAATAAATAAGGTGGTAACAATATTGAAATGTAAAGACTCAGTATTGTACTCTATGCCACAGGGGAAAGAGTGGGAGCTTGAGAAGGCCAGTGAGAGATGGAACGTTATTTTCAAGTATGTTCTTTTCATCAGCATTTGTGCATCTTACAATGACTTCAATTTGTACTCCAGCAATTAGATTCTAATCTGAGCTTGTTTTAATTTTAACTCATTCTAGGCCTCTAATTTTCTCTTCCTTTGTTTTGTTCAGATTACTAAATTGTGATCATCTCTGTGATCCCTAAATTTCCAGGAAAGTACAAAATCTATTTCTAACACTTTTAGGGCATAAGATTCTACATCAGAAAAAACAATGTAATTTTGATTACCTGATTTGCTGCTCTCTATCTCCAATTATTCAATTTCAGACGGATTTTAAATAGGCTACTATTTTGAAAATGCTAGAGACTACTGCTTGACACTGTCTGAAAAACTGGGAATCCTGGTTTTTGAATGGCTCAAAGGTTTAATTTTTAAGGTTGGTGGTTTCTGAGATAAACAATTAAAACTGTCGGTGGTCTGTCAGATTGACAGAGCTCAGTCTATTATCTTGGACACCTTCAGAAACAGCTCCTTCTGTACTTCCTTGATCAGCAAGCATCATTTGGCCATTCCCCTTTCTGATAAACAGTTCTATGTGTTTCCTTTTTCAGTTATTTAAATTTCTCCCAAATCTATTGCTTTGCCATGCAGTAACTGCTAAAATAGCATGAAACATTCCTTGCATTAAAAGAAACATAGAAATGTGCCTTTTCATTGCAACTAGGCAAACTTTTTCCCTACTGAGAAGATGCCAGCCCTCCTTCCTGTGGTCTTAGTTCTTCAGCTGTGCTGTAAGTGTGAACTGGATAGTGGACTGGTTGTCTCGTTCCAAAACTGTGTCTGATAATATAGGCATTTTGTGGGTTCCAGTGCAGGCTACCTAGGTTTACTAAACCCAGGATCTCTGTAGAATGTTTATTTTCAATGGAAACAAGCTCTGAGAATAATGACTTAATGTGAAACATTATGAGGTTTGAAAAACCCCGAAGTAAAACCTATGAAAACCCCAGAACAAAACCTAGCAGTTCTCTGTAGCTCCATTACTGACAGTGTCCTAAAGAAATTGCAGCTTTGAGCTACTATACAAAACAAAATGTATCCACATTTCTGAATGAAACAATCTTGAGAGTAGTTCCTCTCAAAAATCCCAAACAAACCATACCTCTGGGTAATGGTGTGGACACTTATTATAGTCTAATGGCAAATATCAAACATCCTATCAAAGTAATTTAGCTGATGTGATTACTGTTGTCAAGCTGGTGACTATGAGTACTAGTATTTCCTCAGAATCACCAAGCCAAATCAGCATTGTTACATTTCACTGAAATGGGACTAGAAAAGTAGCCTACAAATCCAGTTCTCTGTAATTTAGCATTCCCACCTCTCAAAAGAAAAACAGAAAAGAAATACCTGTGGAGTGAGATTGTGAAGAACCAGCCAGTAGCTAGGACGAACTGAGCCACCATCACTCCAGGTAGAAGCTGAAAATATGTAAATCGAGGAAGAAATATAAAAGTCAGAAGATATTAAGGGTACAACGTTTTGACAAACAAATGTCTCCTCAGCACTACGCTCAAGTCTTTCTGTCTCAGACAACTTCATCCATATCAAAATACACTAAGAGAGTGGATTCTATGTTTTACTGTAGTGTACAAAAAATGATTAACATTAGAATTCATTAATATCAATTGACAAAACAGCTATCACATTTAACATCAGGATAAATTTTCTCCAATTTGTGCCTTCTAAGAAATTTCCCCAGCCACATAATTCACCTCTCCAACACCACCCATTACTCTTCAAAAGTCCTATTGCTGCAGAAATCCTTTCCTCATAGCTCCCAGCCCTCTCCTTTCTCCTCCCCAGGCAGCTCCTGGGTCCTTTCCCTCACATTGACAGTAAGTTTCCATTTTAAAAAGGGATATTTTTTCCTTTACCGGGCAACCGCAACTTCCTCTCTTGTGAAGGCCGCATCATATCCACACCATTAGCGCTGTACAACACACACCCCTCACGGTTGAGCAATGATGCTATCAGGAGATCCTTCTCACCAGAGGCAAGCCTTGAGTCCTGTGCCCCCCACCCCCTGACCGATCGGGGTGCTGTGCTGCTCCAGGGAGACGATGGTTTTGGATTGGTCAGGCCAGGTGGTGGGCGGGGCAGCCCTGTAGTGTTCCTTGAGGAAATATGGTTTTTCCACATCTTGTTGGAGAGATGAGTATTGTGTCCTATGGGATCTGGGGACCATGTTGATTTGTAATCATTGAATTTTGCTATAAATAGATAAAGAGGGCATGGATTAAGTGGGATTTAAGCCTCACAACACAGTCTATGTAATTATGCAGCTATTGTACTAGTCTGAAACCACTTGTGCAGGCACACACTGTTACTGTTAGGGCTTTGAAAGATTACTGGACACCTACTTGCTAAGGTTCATCCCAAACATGGCTATTTCCTATTGAAGTTCTAAGACCAACAGAAAGCTCTGTATGCTAACAAAATTGGAAACTTCATACTTGTAATGGACATGAGGGAGATCCCCCTACTTTTCCTTTTCTTAAGAAAGAAAACAGTAATACATCCTTCAATGTTTCTAAAAGTTACTGGGCACTCTGCTCATCTACTAGACACATGCTAGGCATAGTGAAGATTACTCCAGTAATTGGCTTTTTTACTAATTCTCACTGGACAGCAAATGAACAATAAAGCAGTAAGATACAATAATCCAGAAGTAGCACTTGCTTTTCAAGGCAGGGCTGTCTGGGGAAAATACATTTGTCTGGTCAATAACCTGGTTTACATCTAGTATGTGCATGTACATTCTAGCTATTGTGAAATTAGTGTAGATTTGAAATGAAGAAAAAACATCCAGGGTCCCCAATTCCACAAGTTAGCCCAATGAAAGAATGAAGATTTGTTAGCAAAAAAGTAATGATTTATAATACAATGTGTTTGGATCGCTACCTTCTATAGTGCTTGGAGTCCAGGGGTCTGTAAGTACCAACGGCATGCATTAACTTTACGCTCGCCAACCCCCCTCTCTTTGGCAACTTTTGCGGCCAGAGAGCCTAATGGTGTCATTCTGTCACGTAGCAGAAAAATTTATTTATTTATTTAAATAGATATAGATATATAGAGACAGAGAGAGAGAGAGCTGGACATTTTATGTAGGGATCAGTGAATTCTAACCTGCCAATTTTAGAGGGCCCACTTCAAGGAGTCATTTTCCTGCAACAGGTAAATGCTCTGCAGTTGAGTAACATGTAGAACACAGGGAACATGTGTTAATCCTATTAATTTCTACTTCTTTAAATCATTCCCATGTTTCCTTTATGCTAGACCCAGTTAAAAGGAGGTAACACTGGGTTTGATGTCTCTCTTCTCAGGCTCAGATTAACCAGCATCCAACTTCAACTATGAAACAAATTTTATATGTCCTTGTAAAGCTAGGCAACATATTCAGACAGTTCTGCAATCAAAGCCATTCTACAGATCCACACCTGTCCAATTATAAAAACTAGCCAAGGACAATCTCAGCTCAAGGGAAAATTTTGGGATTTATGAAAAATTGGAAATCAAACTAGATTTCCCGGACTGAATAGTCAAATAGTTACTCAGAGTGAGCATAGAGCCCCACTGATTAATAGGAATTCTAGGCGTCCTTATTACAAAGTAAAGATAGTAGGGCAAAAATCTAGACTTTGGGCTACATGTTAAACTGCCAGAAACACTATGATTCTTTTCTCAAGTTCTAAAGGGGGATGAAAGGCAACCTTCACTCTAATCTACAGGGCAGCACAGTTTCACAGGTAATTAATCAGCCCTGCCCAGGCAGTCAGCTCCTTGCATGGAGCCCTGAGCCTCTGACATGGTGAGGCTGATTAATCACCTGTGAAACTGTGCTACCCTGCAGTTTAGAGGGATCACTGTTGAAGGGTGCAATAAGCAGTTGAAATGAAAATATTCTAACTAGTCTTCCCCTACCCTAACATCTCAGAGTGTTGGCTTAGTTCCAGGTACATTTAAAAATAAATTAAATGAAACTCGCACTACTTATCCTAGTAGATTCTGTCTGAGGTAATGCTTATACATTTTTTGGCTGCTCATTATATCCTTTCTGCTTCATATTCTACTACATTCACTATATGTCAGACCTCCGTATTTTAGACCTTAAAGGAAACTTTATTAAAAATATATGGTTGCTTTAAAGTAATTATAGAATCATAGAATACTAGAACTGGAAGGGACCTCAAGTGGTCATCAAGTCCAGTCCCCTGTCCTCACAGGAGGACCAAGCACCATAGATCATCCCTGAAAGTAGTCTAATCTTCTCCTAAAATCTCTAATGATGGAGATTTCACAGTCTCCCTAGGCAATTTATTCCAGTGCTTAACCACCCTAACAGATTGGAAGTTTTTCCTAATGTCCAACCTAAGCCTGCTTTGCTCTAGTGTAAGCCCATTGCTTCTTGTCCTATCTTCAGAGGCCAAGGAAAATAATTTTCTCCTTCCTCCTTGTAATAAGACCCTTTTAGGTACTTGAAAGCTGCGATTATGTTCCCTTTCAGTCTTTTCTTTTCCAAACAAGCTGAATTATTTCATTCTTTCCTCATAGGTCATGTTTTCTAGATCTTTAATCATTTTTATTGCTCTTCTCTGGACCTTCTCCAGTTTCTCCACATTCTTTCCTAAAATGTGGTGCCCAGAACTGGACACAATACTTCTGTTGATGCCTGATCGGCATAGAGTAGAGGGGAAGCCGAATTATTTCTTGTGTCTTGCTCAAAACATTCCTGTTACTGCATGACAGAATGTTTACTTTTTGTGCAACAGTGTCATACTGTTGACTCATATTTAGCTTGTGGTTCATTATGATCCCTTAGATCCATTTCTGCAGTTGTCCTTCCTAGACAGTTGCTTCCCATTCTGTATATGTGAAACAGAGTGTTCCTCCTTAAGTGGAGTACTTTCCATTTGTCTTTACTGAACTTCTTCCTACTTACCTCAGACCATTGCTCCAGTTTGTCTGGATCATTTTGAATTTTGACTCTACCCTCCAAAGCACTTGCAACCCCTCCCATCGTGATATCATCCACAAACTTAGTAAGCGTACTCTCTATGCCATTATCTAAATCACTGATGAAGATATTGAACAGACTCAGGCCCATAACTAATCCCTGTAGAACCTCACTTTTTATGCCCTTCCAGAATGACTGTGAATCATAACTACACTATATTTCCCTAGTTTATTGATAAGAAGGTCATATGAGACTGTATCAAAATGCTTTAGTAAAGTCTAGGTGTACCATGCTTATTTCTTCCTCCTTATCCACAAGGCTTGTTATCCTATCAAAGAAAGCTATCAGATTGGTTTGACATGATTTGTTCTTGGTAAAATTATAATGGAACATTTTATCAGGAGGAAAACTAGCATACCAGCCAATCAAACTGCTCAGTTCCCCAACATATGGGAAACACTAAAAGACTATACCCAAAGTAGAGAAAAAAAGGTGAGTGGGGACAGATACTGATTGGCTGGGGACTGTTTTTTTAAGATCTGGGATCCACTTACCTGAAGTGCTATGAACATTGGTGAAGGAATTGTCAGAGGCACTGTAGGGCCAGGCACCAGGTGAAGGCAGCGAGGTGTTGAGGGAAGAATTAGACCCTATGAAAAAGGGGGAAGGAAGGAAGAAAATATTGCAGATAAATGTAACAATTTCTGTAATACTAAAAGACCCCATTGGTCCCATTTCCACTAACTGTTAGTGACACACAACAGACATATCAATGCAGCATACGCTTTTTCATGTTCTTACCCTTTGTGTGGGGGTGGAAAGGAGAATTAGATTTTAAAATTACTTAACAGATTGAGACATTGGAATGCAGATGTCTGATGTTTTACCTGTGGTGGTGTCCCGCAGAAGTTGGTGATCAGTATCTACAATGGGAGATGTTGCAGTACCCCCCAGTACACTTCCAGGAGTCACATAGGGGTCAGATTCAGGGTCAATGTTTTGAATACCTTTCCATGGAACTCCCGGCTGGAACTCTGGGATGGGAAGGAATAAAAATAAAATGCAGAGACAGAAATGCCATTTAAATGAAATTAACAATTTTGAGGATGTTTTGAGGGCTCACGATTATATATATATATATATATGGCTCCTCAACTGATCATCAGGTGAAGACTTTCCTATATGGAATATGTCTTGAATTCCTTCTCCTGCCATACTGCTCTCCTCAGTTCACATCCATTGGGCATTTACTCCAAACTGGCTCAAATATACAGGCGTTCTCTCTGAACCATCTTCCATCTTTCTAATTTCAGACTGTGCCAGACTTCAGTGGCTTTAATCTTGCTGACTATTCCATAACCCTTCCAGGATATTTTTTGCACAAAGGAGCCATTCCCAAAGAAGTTCATGCCATACCATTGTCAATACAATAACCTCTACACAGAAAAATCCTGCTCTTCCTCATCCAAAAACCACCTTAAAAACCAGCTTAACACCTTTCACTGTGCTTTCAATGGGATTTTTTTAGCCTCTGTGCAAGCATAACTCAAAATGAAACAGCAAGCAGTATACCAGAGAGAAACTGATTTGTATGCATTCTTTGTTTAGGTGTTTCTGAGCAGATTTAATCAACTACATTCAAAGTCACAATTGTATGCCAATCACAAACACAGTTCACTTGTGAGAAATCAAGGATCATTAAGGAAAATGCAGGACAATGTAGCACTTTAAAGACTAACAAGATGGTTTATTAGATGATGAGCTTTCGTGGGCCAGACCCACTTCCTCAGATCAAATAGTGGAAGAAAATAGTCACAACCATATATACCAAAGGATACAATTAAAAAAAATGAACAAATATGAAAAGGACAAATCACATTGCAGAACAGAAGGGGGATGCGGGGGGGTGGGAAGGGGGAGGAAGGAAGGTCTAATAAACCATCTTGTTAGTCTTTAAAGTGCTACATAGTCCTGTATTTTGCTTCAGCTACCCCAGACTAACATGGCTACATTTGGATCTTTAAGGAACACTGGAGTTATTCTTTTCTTAATTCATATTAAATGTATACTGTCATTTTAACATTTCAAGTCCTGCTTAATATACAATGACAACAGCTTTACTAGACTGGATAGAGAGGCTAAAGAAATAATTCCTATGAGATAGTTAAAGTAAACTGGAGAGAAATGCTCATCAAGTTTACTGCAGAGTTGAGGAAACACCTTCCCCTAAGTCACACCTGGAGGCCAGCTGGCATTGCTGGATTTGCTTCCAATCTTGTTTGTTGGTGGAGATTTGGCAGGTAACCAACTATCACCAGCAGGGCCTGCATGGCCACCCAGTGGCTCGCCTGGGATTATGTCAAACTGGTTGTAGGGTGATCCTCCACGGGCTTTTCCAGGGGGCACTATTGCACCTGAAAAAGTGGGAGAAAGATATAGTTACAGAGAAGAAAAATTGAAGTTTGGGAAGGGGCAGGAAAACTGGAACCAAGAAAATGTAAAACCACCACAGAAGGAATAAGATATTAGTTAAATCAAAGCACATTACACCAGTTTCACTGTAGTTTCATTACTATTGATGTGTGGGGCATAAATGTCATCTATCAGCAACTAACAAAGTTGACGGGTTTAAAAAAAATTAGCACAGGAAAATTCGTTCAAAGGTATGTTAAAGGGAGAGCAACCAGAACGAAGATTTCTCTAGCAATTTCTTTCACCTGGGATGAAAAGTGGTGGCATAACTATGTTCCTATTTCTAGCAATATAACCTCAAATGTCTCTCACCATTTTTGTGCATACTGGCATCTTGTGTAGCTACGGAGGGCAGCCCTTCCATCATTGAAGTCCACTGTTTAAAGCGAGATTCTGATCCGGCTTCTTTTCCTCCCACCATGCCATAATCCATGCCACTTGAACCAAAGCCTGTGAAATAGAAAACAATTCCATTTTCTCTCTGTATTTGAACTGTATTCCAAATGGATACGTCTGATCATAAACATAAATAAAATGCAATGGTAATAACTGAAATCCCTTTCACAGCTACACTTCAGGTGATATGAAAGCAATCCAACTCCCAACCTTGTACCTGTGCAGGACACATCAGTGTGTCATTCTCACTAAATTCTTACTAGCTGACAAACAGATTCTCCTGCAATTACCATGCTGTCATCTCTGATATTCAGAAAAGCCGTGTTCCATATGGATGAAAGCATATTCACTAACTTAGTACAAGTCTGTAGCTAGATTCGGTTAAACTAGAATGACTCAGGAAGGCTGCAAGGGTAGTGAAACATGGCGATGAATGAACTAACAGACTAATTATCTTTACGTGCTGCTGACAAACTAAAGTAGAGTGTTTCACCTATATTTTTAAAAAGCAAAATATATATATATTATTTTCTACCCATTTTACCACATATAATGGTCCATACCTTTTGTCTGTCCTCCTGTTCCTATCACCACTTCCTGAAGATATGACTATATTCTGTTGTAACAAGTGTCTAGCTTTCAGCAACTTGAGTCTAACTCACTTTTCCAATAGCTACCAAGCTTTCCTGACTGTTTTTAAAATCAACTGATAAATGTGTGAAAGTAGAAAGAATTATACTGTAAGAGAAAGATGAATTATGCTGTAATAATTGAATAAGTTGAAGGAATACTGTTTGTCTCTGAACAGGAGGAAGAAAAGTATGTTAATGTTGTTTGTAGGTATGCAGATCAGAGTGCTAGCCAGAGTTAATAGGAAAAGGAACATTAGGTGTTAGGGAGAAAACAATTGAGATAACCAAGGAGATATGGACAGGAGATTGCTGTGTGCTTGATGTGGAAATGAAGATACTTGACTAGCCTCACACTAATTATGTGAAGTTTTGCCCCTCTTTTAATCCTGTCAATTTTGGCTCTCTTTTGACTGTATAAATCAAGGGGTTTGAACCTTGTATGGCACTCACATTTTCTGGGTGAATTTAGCAGAGCAGCTTTGCTAATAAACAGAGCGGTCTGACAAGTCTGAGAGTCCTGTCTGACTTTGACAAATGCCTTTGCATCTTCACAGCTTTAGTTTCTATTTTAACACAGAATGTGTGCGCGCATAGGGAAAGCTGAGGTGCTATGGAGAAGGGATAACATCTATTTGCACTGAAGGGGAAGTCTAGAGGCAGTGTGATCAAGTGGCTATGCTACTGTACTAAAAACCAATAAATCACTGTCTTGTCTATTTAGACTGTTAAGTTCTTTGTGGCTGGGTCTATCTTTTACATAATACTCCTCTACCAGCCAGTCTTAAAATATGCTAAATTAGCATACCATCAAGCTCCACTCTGTATGGAAAAAAGCCAAACCTAGAAGACTTGCAAGAAAATGCAGGGAGCAGACATTGTGACAAACCCTCAAATCCAATGCCTATACAGAAATTACAGCATCAGAAGCTTTGTTGACTCCTGGTGGATCACAAGTCAAACTAATAGCAATACCACTGGCAATACAACGAATAACTCTAGCTCATGGAAGTACTTACCAGAACTGTATCCAGGTATTTGCCCTTTGGTCTGTATATCTGAGAGACCCACATTCAGAGCATTGGGTACCATGCTGTCTAAATGTGGTTTAGGCCCAACAGGATGGGATGGAGAATGCTTCATGCCAGGCTGCCTTTGCTGCTGCTGGAGGGCACTCACCATACGAGCAATCTGCAAACAAAGGAAAGAAATGAGAGAATTTACTCTCAACTAAAACTGGTGGCTTGGGTAATCGTGCAGAAGAGTAAAAGAGCGTGAGTGAATTTAAAGGACGCTTAATTGACACCTATTGATGAAACGAGTATGTCATCCAGGCCTCAGCATAGTCTACATTTATAGACTGACAGGTTTCCTCAAACACACTTTCCCCCCACACATCTTTGATGGACCAAGCAGTGCCCATACCTGTTGTTCTTGCTGCTGTCTCACTGCTTGAGATATCTTTCTCTGGTTCTGCAATAACTGTTGCTGCTGTTGCTGCTGCTGCTGCTGCTGCTGCAAAAGCAGCTGACATGCCTATAACACAAGTGGAGAAGAAATACTTTTGGGGAAAATACTTGGTGGAAATGATCACTGGCAAATGCTTGATAGCTTTCAGTAAAAACAAACAGTTCCTCACATTTCACAAGGAAATAAAATTGTCATGAAAGAATTAGAAGAATATTATCTGGCTTTCTTGTTATACCTAACGGAATTAGAAACAGTATTCCTAGTAGCTGCTTTACTCAAGTCATTAAAAACACAAGCATGAACAACAAAATAATTGAAATATCAGCACACAATTGCTTCCCATGCAAAGTTGTTGCTCAGCTTAATTAACAACTGTCTAACAAATAAGAGAGCCCCAACTTATAACTGCACAAATCAGTTCAAACTTTGTTTTTAGATACAAAATAGCAGGGAGTGCTTGCACACAGACAATGCAAAATTAGCAGAACAAGTCTTAGACTGTTTTCTCTTTAGGTTTGCTTAACTTCAGTTTTATTAGAATTTGTAGACAGGGACAGGATTGTAGACAACCCAATCTATCATCACAAGATGACCAGCTACTTACAAGTTGAAACTGAGGAATATTTGGAAGCTGACTCAGCATAGCAATCTGTTGAGGAGATATATTGAAGAGACCTGGGTTCAGGCCACCATTGGGAAACTGCTTGAGCACGGAGGCTGAAACCTATGAAGAAATAAATTCAAACAGCTAAGATTCAACATCTACAAAATGGCTCAACAAAAAGGGCACTGTCATAATAAAGAAACAAAATGCAGGACAATGTAGCACTTTAAAGACTAACAAGATGGTTTATTTGATCTGAGGAAGTGGGTCTGGCCCACAAAAGCTCATCATCTAATAGTGGAAGAAAATAGTCACAACCATATATACCAAAGGATACAATTAAAAAAAAGTGAACACATATGAAAAGGACAAATCACATTTCAGAACAGGAGGGGGATGTGGGGGGAGGGGAGGAAGGAAGGAAGGTAAGTGTCTGTGAATTGATGATATTAGAGGTGGGGAGAGTGGGATGTCTGTGAGCTAATGGTATTAGAGGTGATAATTGGGGAAGCTATCTTGGTAATGGGTAAGATAGTTTGAGTATTTGTTCATTCCTTCCCGGAGAGTGTCGAATTTTAACATGAATGACAGTTCAGAGGATTCCCTTTCAAGTGCAGATGTAAAAGGTCTTTGTAGCAGAATGCAGGTGGTTAAGTAATTGAGAGAGTGTCCTTTCTGGTTAAAATGGCAAGAAACTGTTTTCTCTTTGTGATCTTGTCTGATATCTGTTTTGTGGGCATTAATCCTTTGGCGAAGTGTCTGAGATGTTTGCCCAATGTACATAGCAGACGGACACTTTCGGCACACGATAGCATAGATTATATTTCTGGATGCGCAGGAATATGTGTTCTTGATCTTATAACTCACTTGGTTAGGCCCAATAATGGTGTCAGCAGAGTGAATATGTGGACAAAGCTGGCAACGAGGTTTGTTGCAAGGGAAGGTACCAGGGTTGGTATTAGTGTGGTATGTCCTGTGGTGGTTGGTAAGAATCATCTTGAGGTTAGGTGGTTGTCTATAGGAGACTATGGGTCTGTCTCCCAGAGCCTCTTTGAGTATGGTATCCTGTTCCAATATAGGCTGTAGTTTATTGATAATGTGTTGGACAGGTTTAAGTTGGGGGTTGTAGGTGATGACAAGTGGTGTTCTATTGTTGGTTTTCTTGGGTCTGTCTTGAAGTAGATGGTTTCTAGGTATTCGTCTGGCTCTTTCAATTTGCTTTTTTATTTCTCTGGGTGGGTAGTTGAGATTTATAAATGCTTGGTAGAGATCCTGAAGCTTCTGGTCTCTGTCAGTGGGGTTAGAGCAGATGCGGTTGTATCGAAGGGCTTGGCTATAGACGATGGATCGTGTGGTGTGTTCTGGATGGGAGCTGGATGCATGTAGGTAACTGTATGAGTCAGTGGGTTTTCTGTAGAGAGTGGTGTCTAATTTTCCATTGTTGATTTGTACGGTGGTGTCCAGGAAGTGGATCTCTCGTGTAGAATGGTCCAGGCTGAGGTTGATGGTGGGGTGTAGGTTGTTGAAATCTCTGTGGAATATCTCCAGTGTTTCTTGGCCATAGCAGGATGCAGGTAATTAAGTCGTTGAGACAGTGTCCTTTCTGGTTGAAATGGCAAGAAACTGTTTTTTCTTTGTGATCCTGTCTAATATCTGTTTTGTGGGCATTGATCCTTCACCAAAGGAAGGATCCCACGCATCCCCCTTCTGTTCTGAAATTTGATTTGTCCTTTTCATCATGTGTTCATTTTTTTAAATTGTATCCTTTGGTATATATGGTTGTGACTATTTTCTTCCACTATTTGATCTGAGGAAGTGGGTCTGGCCCACAAAAGCTCATCATCTAATAAACCATCTTGTTAGTCTTTAAAGCGCTACATTGTCCTGCATTTTGCTTCAGCTACCCCAGACTAACACAGCTACATTTCTATCATGATAAAGAAAGTTAGGGGAGGAGATATTTGTAAAGAGGAGTAAGTATGGGATATACTGACGTATGCATCATATTTTAGGAAAGCCACTAGATATCTTTTTAACTGACACCTTACAGATCCATAAATGAAGAAGTTTCTCACTTTGTGCAGGAACTGCAGTTCTTTGAGATGTGTCTCCCAATGGTTGCTTCATTTCAGGTAACAAATGCACCTCTTGAGCCTTGATGAGATTTCAGTGAGCAGTGCTCTTTGGGCCTGTGCATGCACCTAATGTCTATTCATGCTAGTTGTAAATGTCGCCTATTTAGCTGTCAGAAGCAGAAGAGGAGAGGGGCCAGTAGTAGAACAACCATAGGGACCAAACATCTTGAAGAACCACAATTGCTGTTCAAAGTGAGCAACCTCTTCTTTTAATATATATGCATTGAAACCAGGTAGTAGTCTCGCATATTTCAGATACTGATATATGCTTCAATAATGCCACAGATGTTGCCTATGATCTGGTTGAAAGTGCTATCTCGGTGAGTGCCCAAAACATAACTAGGGATGTAAAAAGTAACTTAAAAATATAACCATGTAACGTATGAAAATCCTAGTGGTTACAATTACACACGCTGAGGGATCTGCAATATAAAGCTCATATATAAGCTTTATACTACAGAGTCCACAGTGAAACCTTCCAGGCAGCCTGCATGTAACCTGCGTCGAGGGAGCCAGGCTAGGTCCACCACGGACAGGAGTTCCTCCGGCTGACCAGAGCCGCCCCTGTCTATAGCACACCATCTGGCCGCATCTGTTACAGGTGAAGCTTATTAGTTAATCAGTAAACTATTTAAATCCCTAATTATAACAAGTGATAATGTATCCAGATAGCCATCTCAATAGTCTTTGCAGAGAGACTGAGGACTCCATGGATCTATCTGTGAAGGAAATGAAGAGCTTAAGTAACTTCCTAAATAGTTGGGTACTATCTAAGTAGAACTCCAATGATCTTTTAACATCTACTGTAATATAAATAGGATTTCCTCGAGAGAACTATGGAGCTTCCTTTTCCTCCGATGTCTTCTCCTAAGGGGGGAGCTGGCTAGGAAGGAGAGAGCTGGACAACTCTTGTCTTCCTAGGAGACAATACCAGTGGCCTGGCAAATCCCCATCAATAAGCAGTCCAGGAGTCCAAGGGTGACCATTGGGGGGCCCATAGAGAAGAGGTGGTGGTATGCAGGGTTGGTTCCACCATTCTTAATGGAGAACCTAATCTTCCCTATGACTTTTTAGACAATGGGTTCCTGAAGAGAGATGTTGGAATCCACCAATGAACTTTATTCCCGTGTATGTCTCTATATAAAAGTGAAGTTTTCAAAATACAGTCTCTTCCTCCACATTTATATTGTAGTTTTCATCCAAGGATTTCCATACACTTTACACAGTTGATTATCTCCTTTTGCAGATATGGAAAGAAAGGCTCAGAGAAAACACATTTTATGTCCTAGAACATTGTCTCATCTCATCTACAGGATGAGCATCCACAGAAAAATGGGAAGAAAGTACTGGAGCCCAGAGATCAGAGTCTTGGTATCAAGAAAGGTTCAGTATCATGAAAGGCAGGGACTCCAGTTCATCTATCATCAAGAGGTCTTTAGTATATCTGAACTCTTATGGCACTAAAGAGAGGATCAGTACCAATGTGGTTGCTGAGGCTAAGGTTACCAAAGGAGACAATGCTGCCAACAATGAGCACACCAAAGTAGAGGCCATTGAGTTCGAGAACGACAGCTTGCTTGGTGCTGAAGGTGCTGCCTACATGGGTACCAATGTCTGGGTTGATTTCAACAGTGCCAGTCACAAGTGTCAATGCTTGTCCTCCAAGTTGTTAGAAAGTACCATTGCCCTACTGGAGCTGTACCTGTGCTCCAGGACTTTATGGCCCACCAGCATCGAAGGAGGATGTGGACTTCTTCAGAGTTGGCTTGTTAAGATGGAGAGAGTCTTCACTCCTCTTTTTGGAAGTCCTCCTTGATGCCTGAAACATCTTCCGTTTCTTAAGGGAAGCTTGCACCAAGGTAGAAAGGGTACTGGATCTGTAATGGGGGATGTAATGGGGAAGCCTTCCTGAATGGACTCAGAAGTTGGCTAAAGGGAGTGTTTCATCATTAGCAGCCTGAGTTTAATCTCCCTATTTTGTCTTGCTCTAGACTTCAGGATTAGGCAGAACTCACTTGTGGGAGATGTGGGACCTCCCCAAGCAATGGACTTAAAGAGTGGCCATCAGCAGAAAAAGCAACATTTGAAACCTGGAAAAAGAAATCTCCCTGTGAGAAAAGAGAGTAAAACAATCCTCTCACTACTTATCTAACCCCATATAAACACATTTAAAAAGCAGACATGAGCAAGGCAGACATGCTGGGGTTGTCTTAGGGAAGATGAGATTGCATCTATGTTTAGATTAATAACAATTTGGGATCGTTTTAATTTTGTGGGTACATATACTGAGTGTGGAATCAGCCAAAGAGGAAAATAAGGGCATAAAGCCATCTGTGTCAGATAAGGGACTCAGACTAGTCTTGCCCAAAGGTGCAAACAGAATAATTCTCACTTTGCAGGGCCTTGGATAGAAGAGAAAACCAGGTCACTGTGCCATGGGAAGATGAGGGTACCTCTCCATGAATGTTTCCCCAGGCCAGGCCTAAGGCAGTAATGAGGACATTATTTGTTCCAGTAAGTAGAGAAGAGACCTGTATACAGGGCTACTCAGAGAACAAATATATGTCCAGGCACATCTGAGTTCAGTTCCCATTTGGGGTTGTGACAGAAATTCTGAGACTGTTGCTTGTCATGCTCTGTATCCCTAGTAGATAGATAGCTGGGATAAACACATTGTGAGGAATGCATACCACTTCCACAGTCTGAATGCTTCCTTGAAGAGCGAGGGTAATCTGGCATCCTCTTGGTGATGAGATGTAAAATATAGAGGGCACATCTGAGTTCAGTTCCCATTTGGGGTTGTGACAGAAATTCTGAGACTGTTGCTTGTCATGCTCTGTATCCCTAGTAGATAGATAGCTGGGATAAACACATTGTGAGGAATGCATACCACTTCCACAGTCTGAATGCTTCCTTGAAGAGCGAGGGTAATCTGGCATCCTCTTGGTGATGAGATGTAAAATATAGAGGTTGTGCATACAGGCATGCCTGCCAGCACTTAGCTCCAAAAGAGTGACATGGAGGATCACTTCTGGGGAAGGCTATTTGCCCTGATCCTTGTGGTTGTGTAGGTGAACCCCCCCCAGTCGACTAGGAAGGAACCTGTTCCAAGGTGGTGAGTCTGTGTACTGCATTGAGGGTGGTGCTGAGAACTCCAGTCACTGTACTGGGGTCAGCATTCCAGTTCAATGAGGAGAGCTGTGGTGAATAACCTGGATGGAGCAGTCTGTACAGATAATGGTCCTATCAAAAGATAAAGTGTTGGAAATCTTTGACTGCTAACATGACCATATTGAACATCTGCAGCTTCCTGTATCTGTTTAATCCCCTTGGATCTAGAATGGGAATACAACCTCACTTCATTTTGAGGATCAGGAAATAGGAGTAAACCCCCTTGCTCTTGAGTTGCAGCAGGACTGGTTCAATGGAATAACAAATTATACAGTTCCTGATGAAGTAGGTTCACATGAGAAGGGTCCTTGAAGGGGGACAGGGAAGGAAGGTTGTAGTGGAGAAGGGACATGAATTAAATAGTGTAACTTTTTGAAATAATCCCCAGGACCTAGCAGTCAGAGGTGATACCGCTGCTGGGAAATGGGGCCAGATGACTTCTGAGAGCGACAGGGATGTGAATGGCAGCTGAAGATATGAGGCCCTCGACCTTCCCACAAAAAGTGCTTAGAAGAGGTGGCTTCAGAAATAGTGGACTAGGTGCAGAATGCTTCCTTTTCTGAGCCCTGATCATCTTACTCAATGGCTCGTAACAGTACTGAGAGAGTGGGTATCGTGTGGCTGAGAGGTATATCTTTTCTGCCCTGCAGTGTAGATTCTTAGGGAGCATAATATGGCCCAGGAATCCCAGACTGGGGAGAAGAATCTGTCTTCTCTGCGAAAGAGTTTGTCTTCTACAACAGCTGGGTCAATCCAGAAAGATGTTGTCAAAAACCCCACCTCAGTACCACTATCATGAAAAGCAGGCAGGCCACTGTATCAGCTACATACAGTGCTGTCACTAGCACCAATCTGGTTATTAACTGATCCTCTTTAAGGATGACCTGAAATTGCTACTTTTGTGTCTCCTGTAAATGTTCCAGAAACACTTTAAGTTTCCCATAATTAATAAAATCATATTTGGCTATAACAGTTTGGTAATTTGCAATTCTAAACAGTTACGTCAGCAACAATTACTCCATCTTCCTAAACCTCACTGTGTGGGTCTCAACTGGCATTATGTTGTTTGCTTCAGGCATTAACCACATCCACAATGATGGAGTTGGTAGGATCTAGAATCCCGTCATTAACTGGGGGGAAGGCGATTCTGGATGAGGGGTGGTGTGCAGAATATCCCCCAACTGTCATGTGTATTTGCCATCTCCTGTAGGAGAATCTGCAGTTCATCTGCAATCATGACAAGATCCTCCTTCTGCAACAGCTTCCTGTACCCCTTGCTCAGGGCTCTGGACAGCCACTGTAGAAGACTAACCACTCAGACACACTGGATGGTTGTGACCTGTGTGTTTATATTGCCTAAGGATTGCAATAAAGCAATGGGGGAAGGCATGGATGATAGGGTCCCATGCGATCATGGATGGGCTCGATGGAATGTGGGAAGATCTTTGTATTGTAATAATGGGCCATTACTTCCTCCTGGTTGCTCTCGGACCGGTCATTGGCTAGGGGCAGCACTGACTGGTATATTGGCAGTACACAGCCCGGAGCCAGGAGTGATTTTGAGTGCCTGAATGTGCTCAGTACCAGAGCCTTGGTACTGTGTAATGAGGATTGTGATTCTTCCCCTAAATCAAATTTCCAGGGTGCCAGAATTCGTGCAGAACCTTGGGCTCACTCAGTACCATGGACAAACGTCCATGGTATTTTATGGTACCAATGGTTGAGATGGTGCAGAGCATCCCCTAGCTGAGAGCTTTCTTGCACCAGGTACCAAAAATTGTCATTGCTGCACTTTTAGAGATGGTACAGTAACTCTCTTTCCTTCGGTACCAAGACCACAGGTCTCCAGGATACCAGAGCTCACGTATTACCATGGGCTCATTTGGTACTGCAGAGGCGTGTTCATGGTACACTGTCAGTACTGATGCTTGGGAAGATGAAGAACACTCCCTCGATGGGAGTTCTGTTGCACCTGGCATCAAAAGTTTTCATTGTGCCACTCTTTTAGAGACAGTACGGTAATTGTGTTAGCAGTTGCCCCTGGCTTATCAGCTGCTGTGCAGTTTGTGCTGCAGAGCAGAGGTGGGAGGGAGGAAAGGCTCTTCTAGGTACCCTGCTTCAGAGCTACCAGTGCCGTCCATGCTGTGGTAAGCTTGTTTTTCTATCCATACTGCAGTGGCAGCTCTGGGGAAACCCCTCTGGTTGTCAATCATTCACTGCTGAGGTGGCAGTTCTGGAGAAACCCTACTTGCTGCCAATCACTCAGAGTTTTTTCTTCTGTTCCTGAAGTGGTGACAGCTCTGGGGACCCCTCCATTAGCTAGCCAACTACTCAGAGTCTGTTTTCCTGTGGGTGTCCAGGTGGCAGCTCTAGCAACAAGGAATGTAGAAGGAAGCAGGTCCTCTCTACTCCTCTTTTGTTCCTTTCACCAGAGGAGGAAGAAATGGGGGGAGATACCCCCAAACAAGATAAAAAAGTTTTTTCCTTCTTTTTAATTACAAGGGAAGGTGTTTTTTTTAAGGGAACACTATTAGGGAGAACAAAAGAAACAAAACCAGATTCTAATTATGCTAACAATACAGATAAGGAAGCGACAACAACTCTCTCCATGTGATGCCAAAGGCAGCTGAGAAGGAAGTGAGAGGCTTTTGCCCTGTGCACTGCTAGATAGTCTCCAGGTACTAGCATATGCCCAGGCTTAATGGGCACTGCTAACAAAAATCTTTGATTAGGAGACAGGAGCGCACATACACCTGCAGTGGAGCACACATAGGAACACTACTCGAAGAAGAACTAAGGGTTCCATTTGTAAAATACGTCAGATCCACAATAAGATGGCAAGTGAAAATAGTTAAAACATGTACTTGTCAATGCTGAAAACCTTATACTGTGTAAGAAATCAGAAATGTTAAGCCGCTTACCTGGGGGGAAAGAAACTGGGGAGGCACTTGTGCCCGGATATTGGGAGAAGGGTTTAGTGGCTGCACTGGTGTATGCATGCCCCTCGATTGTGCTGTGCTGTTTCCAAATAAACCATGATTGCCAGCCTACAAAATTAAAATAGCGGTGAGTCAATTGATATTTTAATGGATTTCTGTGCTATTAGCTGTTTGCTAAGGGTATTCCAAGAATATTTCACGATAGAGAATACCCTCACACGTGATTATTCAGAAGATACTAACCTCAATTAGCTTTATTCCCTGACATGTTAGTCTCTTTATAAACTGAACTTTTTAAAATACAGCCTCTTCCTCCACATTTACATCGTAGTTTTCATCCAAGAATCGAATATACTTTACATAGTTTACAGATATGAGAAATGAAGTTCAGAGAAAACAAAATAGTATGTCCTAGAACATTCTCTTAGTTAAGAGTTGCTAAGCAGTATTTATCACCAAGTCATTTGGCTGTTTTATTATGAAAAGTCTGACAAAGATTTGGTTTAAGATTCAGGAACCAGTTGTCACTAAAATAAGTATGGACTATTACATATGTAACTTGTATGCCTTTAGCTGTCTACCATTGCTTTGAAAAAACTGACTAGGTCTAATTATTTTATCTGAAAAATTACTTAGACAAAAATGTCCTTTTTTTCCTAATGTGAAAATTTTCATGGAATGTTCATGGGAAATTAGTTTCTTTTGATCTTTTTGTGATATATTTGTGCTTTTTTAAAACGAGAAAACAAAAAACAACTTGTAAAGGGAAGTTCTTTGATATATGTGGTTCCCAGCTGTATTCCCCACATGGGAGTGTATGTACTCTGTGCCTGAGATTGGAGATTTGTAGCAAATAGGTTCACTCTTGTACAGTTGCTCTCCTAATACTCTGAACTGAGGGTATAAGTGAGGCACTTCAGTTCCTGCACTTACACAATTATGTTATGATCAAAATTGTGTTATTTCCCATTCACAGTCTACGGCAAAGGGCTTGCTCAAAATATCTGCCAGAATATTCTGCACACCTGGTATGTATGTTGCCAACAGTATCACATTGTTCTTCATGCAGCAGTTCCATAAAGCTCACTGTGTATTCTGTTTATATAGGAGATGGTTGTCATATTGCCAGTTCTTATCTGGATGCGGCAGGACCATGTGAGGAAGTAGTATTTGTTGCAGGTTGCATGAACTTACTTTAAATCTCAGGCAGATTGATATGCATTTTGGCCTGCAGTGGGCACTATGGCTACGTCTAGACTACATCCCTCTGTCAGCAGAGGGATGTAAATGAAGCACTTTGAAAGTGCAAATGAAGCCCGGATTTAAATATCCCACGCTTAATTTGCATAATTGCGTCATGGCACTCTTACAAAAAGGTGCTATTTCAAAAGTAAAACTGCAGTCTAGATGCGGTTTTTTCAAAAAGGGAAGGCTTTTTCCAAAGATCCTATAAACCTCATTTTTTCAGGCCGTCTATTCTTCCTCACAAGGTGGGTTCTTTGGGTATAGAAACATTTCTAAGGAGAACTGCCAAACTGAAGAAAAGATTGTGAATAGGTCGGAATGAAAATGTCCTCCAGTGACAAAGATGGCCACCCTTCCTGGAGTTTGAGGAGACACCGAGGTGGGAAAAGAGAATTACCTATTTCGTAACTGGTATTCTTTGAGGTGCATTATTCATGACCATTCAGCATAGGTGCCTGTGCCTGCCATGTGCATCAGTGCCAGAAATATTTCCCTAAGCAAGTACTTGGAAGGGCAAGGGTCCCAGTGCCCCCACACGGTATGCACATGCCACTATATGAGACAAGAGTGGGCAAAAGGGCCTCTGCGGGTTGGATCCAGCCCACTAAGCGGGTGGATCCAGCTCGCAGAGGCCCTGCTGTTTTCCTGCGCCCAGGCCAATTAGGGCATGGGGGAAGGTGTGAAGCCTTTTCCTTCTCTGCCCTGCAAACAGCGCATGGCGCTTACTTGGCCTGGGGGAGGGGGCACACAAAGCCTTCTCCCGCCCTTCCAGGAACATGCGACACTATGAAGCTTTGCACACACCCCCATCCCCAGGCCCTAACTGGCCTAGGGCAGTGGTCTCCAACCTTTTTACACTCAAGATCACTTTTTAAATAACAGAACAAGCCAAGATCTACCACCCCGCCCCTTCCTTGAAGCCCCGCCCTCTTTATTCTCCTCCTCTCCATCACTTGCTATCCCCAGCCCTTATACTGCTGCTTTTCCCCCCCAAATCTTCTGTAGGAAGACGTTTTTCCAACATTTGGCCTGTCTAGACTGGACCAAATGTCAGAAAAACCCCTTCTTTTGGAAGCCCCCTTATTCCTTGTGGAAAGAGGAATATACGGGTGACTGAAAGAGCATGTTTGCTCTTCCACTAAAAGAAGCAGAAGAACAAATGCATCCCTGGATGCAGAAGTGTTTTTCTCGGATATCTCCAGAACCGTGGAAAAACTCCTGCAGTCTAGTCGTAACCTTGCTGGGTTGAGACAGGATGTGTAGGCTCTGGGGTGGGGATGGGGGATTTGAGTGTGGGAAGGGGTGAGAGGTGCAAGCTCTGGGAGGAAATCTGGATGCAGGAGAGGGTGGATAAGGGGACGCTGGCTCAGGGAGCGGGCGCCAGGCTGAGCAGTGTTAGGGTCAGATGTAGGGTTAGGGTGCTAAGCAAGCCACAGACTTCTGGATGTGAGGATTCAGGAATTTGGGTTGGGGTATGTGAGGGGCTCAGGACAGAGGGTTCCAGTGTATGATAGGCTCAGATGTACGGTCTGGGGGAAAGGGGAGTGCAGGAGTGTTATGATGCTGTGGCCAGATGGGGGCTTGGCTCCAATTTGGGGTTTGTTGGCCAGGCTTCATTTTTAAATAAAATATTATGTCAAACAAAAAGTTTCTGCATTGTCTTTATTTCTGAGAAGGGCAGAGAACCTGTTTTGAGTCGGGGTCACTGACCCAAGAAAAGTCAGTTGGGGCCACACAAGTGAGATGCAAAAAAACCCTCCTCCAAACCTCCCACCAAGCTTCACTAATGTGGCCCCAACTGTGTTGGTGGAAACAGGAGACATAGTACTGGGGAAGGATGCTAGTGAATGCTTTGGCAGGGGACAGGGTGCCAGTGGGGACAGAGTTCTGTGGCTTGGGGCAGGGGAGAGGGGGCAGGGTGCTGGGAGGGCAGAGGACAGGGTTCTGCAGCAGGGAACAGAGTGCCAGTGAGGACAGGTTTCTGCAGCTGGGGATAGGGTGCCAGTGGGGATAGAGTTCAGTGGCTCAGGACAGGGGAGTGGGGACAGAGTCAGGGGAGTGGGGACAGGGTGCCAGTGGAGGCAGAGTCTCCCCTGCATCTGCCTCCTCCCAGGATTCCCTCTCCCCCAGAAGAAACCAGCGTGTGCCTCCTCTGGGCCCAACCCTGCCCCCCCACCCCGCAGCGCAGGGAAACACCGCACGCGCCTGCCCTGGGGCAGAAACACCCCTCCTCCCCTGTGGCGCAGGGAAACCGTGTGCGCGTGCCTATCCCAGGGCTGACTCACCGCTCCTGTGCCAGTGCAGGGAAGTCGCCGTGCTCCTCCTCTGGGGCCAATGACCCCTCCCGCAGCACGCCCAGCAGGGGCAGGGGCAAAAGCACTCCCTCACCCCCAGATCCAGAAATATCTTGTCTGGGGGTGAGGAACCCAGAAATATCTTGGCCCTGCCCCTTCCGCTCGATGCCCTACCCCTTCCTGTGTGGCCCAGGGCCACTTCAAAAAAACAAAGTGGCCCCCGGCAAAAAAATATTGCCCATCCCTGATATAGGACAGTTTCTGGCCCCTCCCTCTCTCAGTTCCTTCTTGCCAGAACTCCAACAGATGAGAGGAGGGTGGGAAGTTGAAGAGACGTGAGCAACACATCTCGAAGAACACCAGTTACGGAACAAATAACTGTATTTTCTTCGAGCACTTGCTCATGTCCATTCAACATAGGTGACTGCAAGCAGTGTCTGCAGAGGTGGGTAAGAGCTAAGGACATGCAGATTGCATTACAGCCCTGCCAAACACAGCGTCTTCCCTAGCTTACTGCATAATGGAGTAGTGTGACATGAAGGTACGCACTGATGACCACAATGCTGCTTGGTAGGTATCTTGAATCCGAATATGCGTGAGATAAGCATGTGATGACCCCTTTTGACCTGGGGAATCAGGAAACAGCAGGAGCTGAAGCCTTTGTTCTCAACTCCCAGATGTACCTTCTCCACTGCTCCCACCTGGAGCAACTGGAATAACTCCTGTTTGAGGAGGCGCTCATGAGAAGAGTCCCTGATGAGGAACAGGGAAGGTGGGTGGGAAGATGGTGTAGAGGAAAGCTGGAAGATGTAGCCACACTGGATTGTGGCTAGAACTCAACAGCCTGAGGTAATACCCTTCCAGACGAGGAAGAAAGGGCAGAGTCTGAAGGAAAACAGGTGGGGAGGATCCAAAGAGTCTGGTATGCTGTCCTCTCGCACATTCTCAAAAGATGCGCTTGGCCTGCCACTTAAACTGGCTAGTTGATGGCTGGCCAGACTGAGGATGGCGGTCCTGCTTCCTCTTGAAGGCTTTGGGAGAATGTGGGCAGTATCCTGCTGGAGTTAGTGGATCTTTGGTTGAGATGAGTGAGGCTTAAACTTTTTCCTTTTAGGCCCAGGGACTGAGTCTTTAAACCTACAGTCTTTAACATGGAGCGGGAGTCCTTAATCACTTACTATCTGTCTGCTCTGCAAAAAAGGCACCCATGTCAAAAGGGAGTTCTGGACCTCTGGAGAAAAGCCCGAAAGGAGGAGCCAAGACACCCGCTACATAGAGATGGCCGAAGCCATGGAATGAGCCAATGCGTCTGCCACATCTGAAACCGCCTGCACTGCCACAGAAGATTCCTCCACCAGGACCTTGAACTCTCTATGTAGGCTATCTGGGATGGAGAACTTGAATTTGGCCAACACCTGCCATGTGTTTAACCTCATAGTGGGATGGAAACTGGCTGAAGAACAAAGTTTTCTGCCAAACAAGTCCAGGCATTTGGAGTATTTATTCTGGGAGCGGGGGTGAGTTGACCTTGGTGTTCTCTATAGTTAATGGATTCCACTACTAGGGATT